GTAATGTCACGTCTAGTATTCTAATACATTTATATAAAGCAGATTACTTCATTATGAAATAATCAAGTCAGTTGTATATTAATATTAGATATAAAAAGTGCATCTAGGCTGTTGGCTTATTAAAAGTTCTCACTGATTATCAATCTTCATTTTGGATACTATATGTTAATTTAGTGAGGGAAGTAGAGATTTTCAGGGAGTGAGTCGGGGACCTAACATGTCTTCTACGTGATTGATTATATTCTCTGCTTGATGGATCTGTTGCATCTAGTTCTCTACATATTGCTATTTAAAATGCCAAATATTTATTCAGTGTTTACTTTGTGCCACCTATTCTCAGGAATTTACATGCATTAAATCCCCTTTTGGTTGTTCCTGCTGTTAATTCCATGTTAGGGGTAAGAGACCCGAGGCACAGTGAGGTCAAAAGATTTGTCCAGGGTCACAGACTCGTCTGGAGCATGTCTCTAAACCCTGTGCTGTTTGTTCCTTTTGAAACCTAGGAGGTTTTGCTGAAGACCTATAGAATGAGTTTTAAATTTTAAAGAGACAGTTAAATTTCTGACAGCTGTTCAGACCAGTGAATGCTGTCTTTTTAAATGTGTTCTTTCTTTGGAAATTAGTTATCATCTTACAGATTCTTACCCAATAAGAACATTTATGATTATCATCTGCATACCTAGAGATACTACATGAAATATGCTTCTCTTCATTCATGATGTAGTGGAAAATTTTAAAATTTTAAATTGTACTCCGAGCCTAGAAGATTTGTAATGTAATGGACTAGGAGTTTACTGGGTGTCCCTTATGTGATGGAACACCTTAGTTTGGGTCCCAGGGATGTGATAAGGTAGAAACATGAACTGTTCTTCCGAATAGATGCATATTCATTCTTCCTGACTGTATATGCTCCTCCAGTCTTGGGTCACCACAAAGAGTAGGTCACAAACCATGCATTATGCCTGTGTAGGCTCCTTTCCTGTAGTTTTTTCAAGGATTGACATGAAAAACAAGTGTGGCTGTTCTCTAAAACCTCCTTGGAGATACTGTCTGACATGCTTCCTTATTGTTCCTACAGCTGGCTCTATTTTATAAATAATTCACAAACTTTTGCCCTTCTTTTGTTCCCCCCAAACAAACCTATGTGCATCCTTTCTCTGAGGAAAGCTATTTGTTTTGTTCTTTGCCTTAGCCACCAGGAAGATCAAGGCCAAATTACTGTAAACTAAAAGTAACTGTTTTATTGCTCCTTTAGGGTTTCCTTTTATTGTGAGTTAACCAAAATGTCTTAGGTTCTGGTGAAATCTCTAGACTCACACAATATTTGCAATATAATTTCAAGGGATTCTTGTATCCTGTGAAACATATCCTTGACCCTTAGAGTTAAGAATCCCTTCCTGCTTTTGATCTTTTTACAGCCTTATTTCATCCATTCTGTACATATGAATGTATTTTGCTAAATTTCCTTGATTTTATAAAAGTAGGTGATATATAAATGATAAATACATTTGTTTTACAGCTCTTATGTGCTGAGCAGTTGCCCTCTATGTATTTGCAGCTAGGCCATGGGAAATGTTTTTGTTTATCACAAGAGGAACTGTTTTGGGTCTCGTGTTAATGAAACATATAAATGGCTGTAGAGCTTTTGTCTGATGATTTTCCAGAAAAAGCAACCTGGAGATGTTGTGTGTGTGTTTGTGCATGTGTCGGTCTGTTTATTTTTGTTTGGGTAGAAATACCAGGGCCTGAAGTTGTAGTTCTTATGAATTGAGCACAATTGTAAACGGATATTCAGTAAAGTTATGACATTTTTATATCTCTTCATTGTGGTTGTTGGTAGAGTCTCTATGAAAGGTTTGAAAAGACTTTGGGAATTGTATCTGGGTCTGCAGTTTTAAAATCTGGTTCCTAAGCCCTCTCTCTTTGGATGGTGGTAGAGCCATTGACCCCTACCTTCAGGGTGGTTGTTCACAGGTGCTTCTTCACGTTGGGTTTCTATCCAGAAGGTCCTGAGTTGGCGAATGGGCTAGCTTTAGTCTTAGGCCTCCATGTATAAGGGATGGTATATTCAGTTTGTGGGCTTTGCAAGGTAGGATATTTCATTGTACTTGCCTTTGGAGATTTCTTGTTCTTTAAAGGCCCCTTCAGATAGGGGAAGGGGGGGCCCAACATCTGTCCCTTAAGACAGTGAGTGTCTAGCTAGTGAGGAGGAGCTCATGCTAAGGAGAGATGTTGGGAATAGCTGTGATCTTTACCTCTTTTTCCCTTGTAAAAGACAATTTGTAGAACATTTCTAAGGGAAACTTGAGAACCCAGCTGGTTAGATATATTTAAAGAAAGAAAAAAATTTCTTTAAACAGACCTTGAATTCTATTATAAATCTGAGTGGGAACCTGAAAATGCTGTGGCATACAGGCAAAACTAATTAAAATAACTGATAAAGAAATCAGATATAGCTTTACATGGGATTTTCAAGATTAAAATGTGCGAGAATTACGTTAATAAGCTCTGCTTTTAATTCCATAAAGGATAGGAATCCATTCCTTTTTGCAGCTTGAAACTACTATCACCTATGCCCTCTAGTGCATACTGGTTGAGTTTGAAAGTACAGTTTTGTACTGTGCTTCCTGCCTCTGCCCTAGTTACTCCTGAGGTTCCTGGTGTAAGAAGTTTATTAGCTTCCCCTCATCCCTGGGTGTTGGGGAAAGGCATAGCTTATTTCTTCTTACCTTTCTGGTCTTGTTGCACTGCTCCCGGCCTGGAGAAGCAGTAAGTGCATTCTGGCAAGTATGGCGACTTGGTAGCAGTCAACTCAAGGCCAGGACAGTTTCTGCCCCTAGTGCTGCTGTGGCAAAGCATCCTGTCCTGGGGATGTTTATCTATGCCAAGCAAGGAGCACTAGTTAAAAATCTTCACTTCCTTTCCCCTATCCATATTTACTGAGCTAGTGTCTGGGGTAGGGTAGGTCATGTAAGGATCCTAGAAATCCCAGCATGGTCAGCACTTGAGAACCTTCCTCTCAGGAGTGGTGTGCAAGGCACTACTAGGATCAAACCCCAATGGACTCCCTAGGTAGAGGCCAAGTTACTGTTTTCTGGGTATAGGCAATGGAGTACCTTTTTGAAGCTCCCCAGGCTGTGGCAGCAGTCCACTGTTAGGGAGGAGGGGGAATGGCAGCCCACTCTAGGCCCCTGAGATAGCTGTTGGTCCACTTGCTAAGGCTTGTGACACAGCAGTTTCTTATTGCATGACTGCTGTTTACTGGCATGATGGCTTTTTCAGCTAGTGCTGCCTCCCCCCTTTTACTTCTTAGCCTAGTTTTGTCTCTCTGAATGAAGGCAGGTGATGATTAGCTGCCCTTTTTTCAACTGGCACATTTGGTGTTGTAGAGAACGTGGTACAAAACAACTGTTCATTTAAAGTTTCTGTATCTGTCATGAATGATTTTTTTATGTTTCATTTGTCAAAATTGATAGGTTATGAAGAAAAAGCTTAAAAAAAAGACATTCACTTTTTACAGTATACACAATTTTAATAACAAAACTTTCCTGTACACTGCACTTTGTTCCCCCACCCTCCCAGTATAATACTGTTTTCTTCCCATCCCCCCCACCAACCCACTGCCCACCTCCCACCCCTGCCCAAAAAAAATGGCTCTTAAGGTGATTGAACACAATGTGTTTGGACTGTACTTTTAGTTTCCAGTTTCAGTGTTGATAGGAAGGTTCACCAAACATTCCATAGATCAGGCTTTTAAAAAATTATCAAAGGATAGGTTAGTTGAACGAGTAGCAGACTTTTCCAAATGTTTGCAGTAGCAGTGTGAAAGCTTAAACAGTCATTTACTATTTGTTTTTGGGCTTAAATTATTTAAGTACTACGAGCTTGCCCTAGGTTAGGAACAAAAATATTTAATTATCTACAGATGGCCTATCACTTTTATCTTTGTCTTTCTGGTCGAAGTACTTTAACCAGTAAGATATGAGAAGCTTGTCCCAAAACAGTTTTGAGACAGGTCTGTTACTGTATTGCTTTATTAGGAAAATGATCATTTAAGTCAGCTTCTGAAAATATTGTTTTAAAATTTCATATTGATATCCACATTTTAGAGAGAACAGGCCATTTATAGCCTCCCCCCCCAATAACTGTGTGTAGGAAATATGCTTTAAGAAAATGATATGCCTGTTTTGAATTTTAGGATTCAGACCTAGTGCTACATAGGGCTTATTTTTATTGGAAAGATGGAGTCTAGCTCTTGGTGACTAGCATTAGAATAAGCAGATGGATTTTAATAATTAGTGGAGTTGGGAAGTTCAATCAATTCCATTCATTGAATTGGTACAGAAATTAACTTAGGCACATTAAGAAATTACATGTGTTAGTGCAGATTTTTGGCTTAAAAAATTAGTATCTTTGCTATTTGATGTTGGCAATGGGTATTCTCTTAGTTGTGTGTGGATTTGCAAATTTATCAGCCCACTCTCATTTCAGAAAGGTGATTGAAATCCCTGGCAAGCTACAGAAATGAATATAAATGATTCCAGACTAGCTGTTGGTTACTATGTGGGTGCAGTATCATAGCCTTCTTTAGCTCTCCTTTTCCAGAGAGATTTAATTACTTTCTGGTTCTTGATTAAGTGGTCGTTTCCCTTTAACCCAGAAAATTTAAAAGGAAAGTTGGGGGGGTGGGTGAGGTGTTGAAGAAAATAAAACGACACCAAAAAATGAAAGGCCTAACATTGTATTACCAGGATCTGCAGTGTAGTTGTGATGCGTTTCCACCCGAGCCAGTTGGTAAAGAGAGCACATATGACTAACAGTCTCATCTTCAAACCTGTGCTGATACCAAAACAGAAATAGATTGAAATTAAAAGGAGTCTTGCCTTCTATAGGCAATTGAAAAGGGAAGTTTGCACTTTAAATGAAAAAGGGTAATGCTATTTGGCACTGTTACTCACTTTTCTCAGAGAGCATTACTCAGAAAATGAAGGGCAAAAGAATCTGTTTTTTTTTTTTTTTCTTTTTTTCCCCTCCCAACTGCCTTGGTGGCTTAAGTATGCTATTTCCCTGAATTACTAAATGGCTTGCCTTTCCAATTGACTCTTCTGCGTACATTAAGAATTTAGCCAATTGATAGTCCATTTTACTAACTGTAATCTTTAGGATTAATGTGGGCATTCCCAGCCAGTATTTCTCACCCTTCTCACAGTTTCAGTTAATTTAGGGTTGTGGTTGAAATGATGGAAACTACTTCTTTGCTATCCTTCAGGGCTAGGGGACTCTTGTGTGCTCAGGACACAGTTGTATTGTGACAGAGCTCTTCCCTGACAAATGGCCATGGCTACCCTGATGAATGGGTTGGTAAATTTTAGCTTGTGGAGTTCTCATTTGTAATGGGGGCTTCTGATCAAGCCCTTCTGTAAGGAAGCTGTGAGCTGTGCTCTCTGCCAGAAAATCAGCTTCTGTCCCTGCCGAGGCAGTCCCAGGGTCTGGGTTAACAAGAAATGAAAGGCTCACTGCTCAAGATCAGCTGAGATGGACTGAGACTTTGCCAAGCTAATCTGTCTCCCTTTAAACAAAAAAAAAAAATGTAGAGAGCACAATTTTACAGTAATATGTGATCTTGTCTGCTTTTCACTGAGACACATTTTCTTTGAAATGTAGGTAGACATCCCTCTCTTAGTATTAAACCTCATGGGTTAAACTATAATCTTAACATGTTTTCAGTTCAGGCCTGGGAAGAAATATGCTTTGAATGAAGGATAGCATGTTAAGTAAAAGGTAACTTTTTTTTATGGTGGTTTTATGGTTTTCTCTAAGGATTATGCCCTTTTTCACATCAGTTAATGTTAGTTGTAAAAATGGCCATTCTTCTAAAGTCAAGTCAGTAGTCTAATTTCATGGTTTTTGCAACTACATACATGGAACCTTATTTATGGAAAAATTCTGTAGGAATTGGTAACTTGCATCTAAATCCTAAATATGTCATAGGTTCTCTGTAGAAATAATGATTGATGAAACAAAATACTTGTGGCTCTTTTCTGCATGAAAAGTGCGGCATCATTATCATTTGTTAATCACAGAACATTTATATTAATAGGGGAGAACCTCCTCTCCCCTTTTCAGCTGCAGGTCCCAGGGCCTTGCCCTGTTTGATGCAGATCGTGTACAGTTACCCATTTGCCTCCTTTGGCTACCTTTTAACTTTGCTAACCTGTTTCTGCAAGAGTCAGATTTCAAAATGCTGCCTTTCTCTTTCATCCCCTCACCTCCCGTGGCACCTTCAAGTTACCACTGTGTGGTTGCATAGGCACGTAGAGTGTCCCACCTCAAGAAGGTTTGCCTCAGGTATGTGTTGTCCCCTTCACTTGGAAACATGCTTTTACAGTGCAAATAGGTGTTTATTAAGAGGTCAAAATTTAGCATATAACCATTTTTCATGGTTCCTTTAAAACATGTTCTGACAGGAATCAGTGTTGCATCTGTTGCTAGCCAGTTATTTTAAATTTGACACTCTGAGGCTTGAAAATCAGGAAAAGGCAGACGAAAGAGGTTTAAACCCCTTTGCAGAGCATCTTTGATCATGACAGTTGAGGGAGGGAGGAAGAGAGTATATTTCTGTGTGCTTTCAAACTCAAGGGAGCAGCAGGTCATAGGATTATTAAATTGACTCAGTTTATCTCTTCTCCCCAAATAATTTCTATCTTTTTTCACCTATAAATGTAAGTGTAGAATTTAGTAAACTAATTAGTAAAATGGTAATTTAGTACTAGTTTAAAATAATTATCTAAATGCCACGAAAAATCAACATGTCCATTATAAGTGAAACTAGAGATGTATGATACAGTCAGTGGAATTACTTAGTATTGATTTCATTGTAATGAGACCTTTTCACAATCACTTGGATTCATTGTTTAAATGTGTCACTCAGCTTATTAAAATTACATAAATAGTTCTGATTTCATGATGTGGACTTTGATAATATGTACTAACACAGGCAAAAACTCTGGAAGAAGAGTGTTTAATATTGACCAGTCTTCTGCATACATGAAATTCTACTTCCCACACTGGCTGTAAATTTTAGGTTTGAGTAAATACCAAATTATGATACAAGAGAACTTTGCTAAGTCTCCTTTAAGCAGCAAGCCATTTGTGGTACTTAGGGTGGAGAGCAGTAATCAAACAAGTATTGATCCATATCTCTTTCTGCTTTTTCCAAACTGTTTTCAGTAGAAAAAATTAGCATATGGAGATCTTAGTGTAAATGTTTACACATGATAGTATATAATTACATGTATGAAATGTCTTATTTTGAAGTAAGCATTTTTAGAATTTCCAACACGAGTGCAAATTAATGTGAGCATTGCTTCATTTAACACTTAAAATATGGTTTCATTAAAAAAAATTAAAAATACTTCAACACTTCAAAAACTTAAGTCTCCACTTGGTTTGGAAAAATTAGGCTTAATGTCACCATTGGTAAAAATTAGATATGTATTTAGCCCCTACTATGTAAAATAGGTTACTTATCTGATGTAATTTTTGACGATGGGTAGACATTATACTTCACATTCTTTGTATGGCAGCTGCTGACACTTGCACTGTCCATAACCATTAATGATGATGAAGGGTCCTTCATGGGTGGGTTCATATTCATTATACGGTCCTTGGTCTGACATGTTTGACATATGGAGTCGTGTTTGGGATCGGAGCTGCCTGTGGTTTTGAATCATTGAGCACTGCCTAATTCTTCTTAAAGTGGGAGGGCAGCACTTCCTGGAGATGAACACTATAAAAATAATAAAAAAGAAAGAAAACAATAAAGCCATTGTTCCTGTAATTACCCGCTGAGTGAAGATGGCATTGTCTGGTTCGGGAAAGTGTTCCTCAGTAGTAACTGCTATGCCTGCAGTAGTTGGGATTTCTTTGTCTCCCACATGATAACTTGATGAGCTTATTCTTTTTGTATATTCAGTGGTTGGATCTTTATAAGTTGTAGCCATGGCAGTGACGGTGGTTGATAAATTCCAGCACAGCTGAAATCCATGGACTGCATCTAGTATATCCTCTCCTTGGGTGTGGTCAGGGCTGTGGCATAGGATGGAATGCTCCCACCGACCTTGGAAACTGCCCAGCCAGGAGGCCAAAGCACATATTCGAGGGCTGCATTCCCACAGATTGCCAGAGAGGCCGACGGTTGTGAGGGATCTCAGGGAGTTTAAGATCTTGGAATCAAGGCTGTTTAACTTGTTGTTATCCATGAGGAGTATTTTAAGATTAGGCATTGTTTCAAACACTGTCAGGTCGATGGCTTTTATTTCATTTCCAGTCAGGTCTAGCTTTTCTAAAGTGCCCCAGGTCCACTCCATCCCACATGTCAAGTTGCTAATTTTGTTCCATTGTAAGAAGAGCGTGTGCAGACTGCTTAGCCGTAGGAAATGAGCAAAATTAATCTTTGTCAGCTGGTTGTGCTCTAGGTGAAGCTCTCTCAGTTTGATTAATCCCGCAAATCCATTGCGAGCCAAACTTCGCAAACGGTTTGTGCTCAAATCCAGAAACTCCAGACTACGACAGTCCCAGAACAGGCGTACTGGGATAGTCCGCAGGGAGTTGGACCGTAAATGCAAGGTCTGCAGCTTCCGGAGGCCATAGAAGAGCTCTGGGTGCAGAGATGACAGCTGATTAAAAGACAGGTCCAAATTTTGCAGGTTAATCAGTTGGGTAAAAGTTGTGTTTGGCAAATAAAATATTTTGTTGGAACTTAAGATTAATTCCTTAAGTTTATATAGTCCTTGAAAAGCATCTTCTTTTACTGTTGAGATTTGATTGTGGTCTAAGTGGAGCCAGGTAAGTTGACTGAAGCTGGCAAATTGATCTCTTTCGAGCTCTGTGATGTGGTTGTGCCTCAGGGACAGGCCCAGAGAGCCCTTGTCTGTGGTGTTTGGCACTGAGTGGAAGCCCTGAGAGTCGCAGTAGAAGAGCAGCTTCTCACAGCGGCATTTGTGTGGACACGCCATACCCAGGGCAGGCAGCATTTTTAAAACCATACTCATTGCATATATTGCTGCCAGCATAGGGGCCCCTAATGGCCACTTGAAATGTAAGCCTGCAGAATATAGTTTAAGAAAAACAAGAACATGGGATATTTTTCAGCAGAACGTATGAGCTTAAAACAACAACAGCATAACATTATGGCAAAAGATTTCACTGCATGTAACTTATTTTTCATTTGCTGCAGAAAAACTAACCTTGTTTTATGACTAGAGCAAAACTTAAACCATTAAAAAAGAACATAAAACATGTCCTGTCATCAGCAGTATTTATATGCTTTTACCTAAACGTCAAAATCCAAAAATGACGTGATTCCCTCATAAAATGTGAAATCAGTGGCTTCTTATTTTTAAGCATGATTCCTTGCTGACTATACGAAACACATAAATAAATGGACTTACCCATTCTTCTGAGCACATTGGAGGCTGCATTCAGTCGCGGTTGTTAGACTCAACGCAGTGAGTCTGTAAAAGGCTCTAATATGCAGGAGCCTTTGAGCAGTTTCCTGTTTTCTGTGTCCCAGGCTTTCTTAGTAAAATTGAATCCACCAGGGTGAGTTGTTTTTTTCTTAGGATATTCCTCTCGAAAGCAATGGTTTCATTTTCTGTGACCACGCTGATCACCTAAATCAGTTTTGAATGTAAGTTATTAATTTTGTCTTCCTCTAACTGCTCAGCTGGTTAATCAAAGCTTCAGTCTCTCCTTTCTGCAGCCGTTAGTTCTCTCGGTCTTAACTTGTTGATGGCAGATGGGCGGCTTGTTGCAGAGAAGAGCTCCTGGAGCAGCATGAGTGCATTTACTGAAAAGCTTTTCCGAGAAACGGCACAAGAATGGATTTGCTTATGTGCTGCGACCACACAGAACTGTATATAGGCTGACGTCACCGGGTGACGTGTCTTTTGTTTGGGTTTTCCAGAAGCTTTACTGTTATAAAGCACTGTGCTTTGTAACAGTATCGGGGTCGTTGTAAGACCCCCTGATTATAATAAGCGAGAAAGAACTCCTGACTTAAAAACATGGTATTCCTTCAGTGTAGGAAGCAGCAGTGAGGTTGTAATAAAGGCTGCATTCAGGAAGACCCGTCTGAACAGTGAGTTGGGCTAGCAGAGTGATCATTTTTTAATGCTTGGGAGAGCCAGTGTTAGACTGTCGATTCTGCATAGAGAGATCATCTAAATGGGCAGGAGCCTGCACGATTTATGAAGTGCTGATTTAACAGCAGCCTGTGAAAGGTAGTGCCTGCTGCTCTGGTAGTTTGGAAAGCTAGTCAATCACCTTGTCGTCATGCTTGGTTAAAACAGAAGTATGACTATGATTTGCTTCAGATGTGTTGGTAAACTAGCTAAGTGAGCTTGGCTTCTTTGTCATTAAGAGTTTAACATCATAAACCAAGAATAAAGGGCCAAAAAAAAAAGCTTGGAAAATGAAACCTTTGATTATTTTGCTTTTTGAAAATATGAGGAGAAAGCTAGTTAAAAAGATTTCTTCTCCTGTCCTGTTTTACAATAATGCTTTATCACAATGCTGATTAGGAAATAATGCTATTTGATCTTTGAATGTCTTAGTAGGAGAAAAGGGTAGGTTGATACAGCCATTTAATACTGCATGCCCTAAATGTTAACAGTGGAATAGAAATGATTTAGAACAGGTGACACAGCATGACTGGATTCTGACATGATCTCTTGTATTTATCTCAGAATCTCACCCACTCCTTCAACTAAAAGCGTCAGCTGATAACTGAGTTTGGGGCATTGTGGCCCTCAAACAATAGAGTATTTGCACACTTAAAAGAGCCTACTGGCACCCTAAAGAACTGACTTTGAGTCTTTTACTAACTGTTGTTAGAATCTTTCTAGGGGGTACAAAAGATCACTTACACTTAGGAATGGGATTTTTGCTTTGGCTGTTTTTAACTTGACCTAACACTATCTAATCCCTGTCAAACAGTGTCACTTTTCAGAATTTGGTCATGAATGTACAGTTCCATGTTTAGTGTTCTATAAACATGAAAGATACTTCTGGCATGAGTCAGAGTTATATTTTCAGGCCTGACAAAAAGTAAGGCCTGTATACATCTGACATTTTGATTTGGCGCTCCATGCCGTTTCTCCCATACCATTGGCTCTTAACTCTTAGTGGTTCTTGTCTCAGACCTGTAGGCAGAAATCTCAAAACTACCCATGGCGTCTGTGAAACCAGAACATCACCAGCCTCTTGGCTTCCAGTGGCTTCATCCCTCTGGGCAAGTCTAAGAAGTGATTATCTTAAGGGGTGTAGTTTGTATTGGAATGTGACACTGGAGTGAGGACTAGAAGACTCCAAGGTGCCTCCCTCAGGGCTCTGTGGAAATGGCAGCAAATTCAGGTGTGTAGTTTGGCTTTTCCTAGAAGTAGACCCTGTGATAGGATTAGAAGTTTAAGAATTTCTTGGGGGAAATGCCTGGAAAGTGTAAAGGGAGAGAGAAGACAGCAGAAATACTCTGAGGTCTATAGCATCTTTAGACCACAGAGCGTATTTGACACCTCTGAGAGGAGAGAGGAAGGAAAAGTTGACAGGCAGAGTCCTATACTGCAGTGCAGTTCTAAGACCACTTCCCCAGGCCGAAGAGAAGTCCCCAAGCCGAAGTTGCCGATGAGTGGAACCCCTTATTCTCAGGGACTTGTATCCCCACTGCTTTCCTGCTTACTGGTTAAGGAAGGGAGAGAGAAGTCCTGTTTTAGACTTCAAGGATGCTACTCCCCCAATGACCTCGATCCTTTCTGAAGGCTGTCTCTCTCTAGGCTAGAAGTTTTTATCCTAGGTCCAAAATTGGCTTGTAGAATTTTGTTGCTAGTGCCTTTTTCTGTAGATAGAAAATAATCCAATTCTTATAGAATCTGTGACCCTAGGTTTCAGAGTTACTGTTCTGTAGGAACTTGCTCTGAAAACTTCCAAAGAGGGAAGTCTGATAAGGGTGGTTTCTGTTAGTTAGTTAGTTATTTAGTTATTATTTATTTATTTATTTATTTATATATGAAGTCCTTGCTCTATTGAAGTTAGCCACCCTCTGATGAAAAAAGCCTTTGAGAGGCAGTAGGAGCTGGATTAAATTCTTCCCTGAAGTAACCACATTAGATCCACGAGGAGAAAAGCGTTAGAATCAATTGGATTAGAACAACCATGATTAAGTATGAGTTGTATATGAAAATTTAGAAGGAAAAGCATTTCCTTCCCCCTAGACTGTTTGTTCCTTTTTTGCTCTCTTGTCTGCTTGGCCTACTTCTTACATACTAACAAATGGAAAATCCTTAAATTATATTATCCCAGTACTATTATAACAGATTTGTGGGCAAGGGAAATTGCCCAGAAAAGCACCAATGCAATCAAGAGTAATTATTTTTTGATGCATCTGAAGACGTGGGCAGTAAAGCCTGCTGTATCACAGTACTCAGAGCACAGTCCCTCTAGGCCACCAGCCCACTTGCCCTCTCTTTGGGTTCAAAAGGTTTATAGTCTGTGGAATCAAAGAAGACATAGTGTTTGTCTTAAAATTGGTGGATTACACAGTTTCCATTGATGGAATTTTGTATCATTTTTGAATCTTCATCTTTCTTTAGCTAAAAGGACTAAAAAGAAACCCATGTTCTTTCTGAATGAAACTTTTTCTTGGTTTCATTTTAGAGCAGCTTTATTCTGCATACATATGCCTTTGACTTAATTAAAGTGGCAGTACAACCTCTGGAAGGTGCTCTTCATATCATCTGTTTCAATTCTTGCTGCGTTAGTTGTTCATGACAAGGCAAAGGAGAAGTAAAATCTAACCTGTCTGTCCTCTCTGGAAATGGTCTTAAGCAAATTAAGTGAGCCAAGCAGCAGGGCTTAGGTGTTGTAGTTATCTGCATTACTTTGTATGAAAGTTTGCTTTTAATATATGTTGCTGATTAGGGAAAATTATTTTCCCACTTGAAGAAACAGATGTATAGATAATATAACATGGAGTCTTCTATTTTTTTGTGGTAGACAGGGAGTTTGATTTTGCTTTATGCTAAAATGCCTAATGTTTCTTTAATCATACCTGACTCCAAAAATTTTAATTCCTCGGCACCCAGAGGTGTTGCACAGAGGTGCTATGGAGAAGATTGTCAAAATAAACCTTGTTGCTGCCAGTTTTGACCATTGCTATTTGGAGAATCTCCTCATATTTATCAAAAAGTGATAGCAGTTTTTAGGGTAGAGGTCCTAGATTTTGTGGGTCTGAGTATATCCCCTGCTGAGAACCTTTTAGGGTTCTTAGTTGACAGCCACATACTTGAGCCTCTATTGTATCAAGACCTGTATCAGAGTAAGTGGGTTTTACTCTCCTGTTTTTGGAGGCAGGAGGAAAGAAGGATGGGAGAGGATAATGATCAGTTCTCGAGTTGTTTACTGCTTTCAAGCATGCATATATTTGGAGGTAAAGATTGTCTATTTTAAATTTTTTAAATTTGCTCTTTGAAAAAGTGGAAAAACTACTGGGGCTTAGTGCTAAACATTAGCTTGTTATCTTTCCAAGAAACAGAGCCTATCTGAGAGAGACAGACAGAATATGTAAGAATTGATGGCCTTACCAACCTGTCATGTTAGAGGTGGGCTAAAGAGTAGTTGATTGTCCCAGGTAGAGCCGGAGGATCTGAGAGCATTCAAAGTTATAGGCTCTTAGAGTCGTGGTGAAATCACGGGGGGAGGGGGGGCCACTGTTGAATGTAAATAAGTATCTGTGTTGCTGAGAATCTTTCTTTCAGAAGCCTTTTGAAAAGTCGCTGTCCACATTAGGCATACAGAATCCCTATTTTTCACTGGATCCATGTTCCTGTCCTTGCCCTCTACTGATTTTGTTTTTAAAAGTCCTTTTGTTTTCTTTAGTAAGCATGACTGAGAAAGCAGTAGGGAGGAGTGATGCTTACACTGGTGATGATGAGTTGTGTTCCTTTTGATGCTACAACTTACAAAGTTTAGAATTTCTTCATCTAGTTTTGGAGGCATGTGCTTTTTGGCAGTTGTTGCTGTGGGGGATAGGGGGGTGGAGGCAGCGGTGGGAGGATTAGGGTCACATGACAGCCTAATTCTGTTGTGCTAGCATTGTATTCTGTGCCCAGGACTAGAAGATTAAGCACCTTAGTTGGACATTAGGTGAGGGAAAATCTTACCAGAAGTTTGAGCAGAGGTACATTTAAACCATGAAGATCTTTTATTTCACCTACTGTAGACATCAAACCAATCCAAACCAAACAGAACTTACCTGAAGTCTTGATTAATGCATAGTTCGATGGAAATTTATATTGCCAAGCGCTTTTCTTATTCTAACCTGCCAGTGACTTCATCATGTTCATGTTTCCCTCACCCTCTGCGTGGCAGGCTTCGTTTTTTATTCTGAAATAGAGCCAAGTTTGGATTTGTCCTTCCTGCTTCTCCCTTTCTACTTTTTGAGTAGCTTTCTATTTAGATAAGTTTCCTCCTATCTGAATAGATGGCCATAGGTTATACAAAAGCCATTTGTATAGGATAGGATTAGGAGTTAAGATAGCTATTGATGTTTACTTGAAGAATCTCTTTTAATTTTAGTGAATTCTTTGACCCAACTGGCTAAATTAAAAGAATGAATTTGCATGTATATTGGCTAGGTGCTAGCAGTCTTGGTTGCTGAAGTCATTCCCTGAGAACCCTCTTAGTGTGCTCTGGGCTAGAGATGGCAACATGTACTTAATGCATGCAAAAAAAAAAAATTGAACATTCAATGCAGTGAAAATCAATGACAAAAATTCAGCCCAAAGAGAATAAGATGACTTTTAGTAGGAATGGCTTATAGCTGCACGTCAACATTATAGTTGCTGTGGAGATACTGACCCCGTATTGCTGAAAAGTGACTTGCTAAGCTTGAACTCCCATGGGAGCTGATTCTGTTCCACTTCTTGTTATGTTTGTGTGTGTGTGTGTGTGTGTGTGTGTGTGTGTGTGTGTGTGTCTGTGTCTCTCTCTCTGTTTAATGGCTTCATAGTTTTTCCCCACGTGTGTGTGTGTGTGTATCTTAAGGCTTCATAGCTTTACGCGTGTATAGCTATACTATGCTTTATGGACATGTAGTTTGTTTTGAGGCTTTTGGCTTTTGCAGACAGTGTAAAATTAATGTTCTTTTAATATCTTTGCTTCCTTAGGCAAGTTTATATTTAAGGTAAGTTCCTAGCAGCAAATTGCTGGATTATAGGGGATGTATATTTAAAATGGA